CCAACGAGTTCACAGCCGAGTGAGTACCCCCTAGGGAAGGCGGGTCACCTCCAATTAGCTGGTCCCCCCAAGAGTCATCAGCTGCCAGAGCCCAGCCAGAATGTGGTGGGCAGGGGCAGGGCTGTCCAATGACTATTTATTGAGCACATACTATGTGCCGGTCGCTGTGTGAGGTGCTGGACCTACACCAGTGCTGAGCAAAATTAGACAGTTCCTGGCCTTGTGGGGGTTAGGGGGTCTATGGAAAGACATAAGGCACATTGAATGAGACAGCAAGGGCAGGAAGGATGACAGATGTGGAAAGGGGGAGAAGTAGGTTATTCAAATTTAACTGATGGACTAGAACTAAGCCTTGGACATCACTGGGATTTATATCTTAGGGGGGAGAAGGGCACGTTCCAGGAAAGGCAACACGTGGCCGGAGGGAGATGAGCGTGTGCATGTGAGCGTGCACATTAGAGACTGTGGACCTCGTATGAGGGCCTTGTCTTTCTAAGACTGGAAGCTGGGCTGATTGAATGGGCAGGAGGGGGAAACCTGCCCAGGTTGGGTTGCGGCTGAGGACAAGAAAGAGCAGAGAGATGACCCCTCGGCCTCCCAGATTGCCCGAATTCCTGTTGAGACTTGGAGCGTGCAGGCTGAGCTGTATCAGACTCAAGAGGACTTGCAGCCCCCCGGCACACACACACCAGCAGCATCTGCTCATGGGCCCCCGTGCCCCGTCCCTGCCCTCCTGTCCTGCACTGGCCAGTTGGTCTCCTGTCTGAAAGGGCTCTTCCCCTCACAGGTATTCCCTGGCTCCTTTATGGGGCCCAAACAGATTCTTCTTTGACTTGTTGGAAATAGCAGCCATATAAATCTCATGGGCTGGTTGGTTTTTTTCCTTGCAAATATTTCTTCTTCAAAGGCGATTTTGCTTATATTAGTGGGATAACAGACTGACACCTCTTTGTGGTTAGAAGAGCTTATAATATAATCACAGTCCCTGGAACAAGCGAATCTATAGCTTCTCTTGTACCCATTTCACAGATTAAGGTATTGTCCCAGAGACCAGCTACTCACTAGCAGTGCTCCTGGTCTAAGACGAGGCCCCTTCCCACCCCTCCCTGCCTCTCACTCCAGCTGCTTCCTCTCCTGCTTCCAGGCAATGTTTTGGTGATGGCTTGAACTGGGCCGGCTGCTCCATCATCGTCCTGCTGGGCCAGCAGCGTCGCTTTGACCTGTTCGACTTCTGCTACCACCTGCTGAAAGTGCAGAGGCAGGACGGGAAGGATGAAATCATTAAGAATGTGGTAAGCAGCTGGGGCCCGGGAGATGAGGCCAGGCCTGACAAGCAGGCTTTTCTCTGAAAAGGAGGGTGAGCTGATTATGGAGCCAACTCCCCGCACTGCAGGGAGGTACAGAGACACTCAGCGGAGGGGATCTCCTCATAGGAAGCCATGAATCATTTGCTCATAACCCGCTGGGATGAATCAGGTCACCCTGCAGGGCAGGGCCGGGCTGGGCTCCAGACCTGAAATACACCTTCCCTGTGCCAGCCAGGCTCGGCCGATGCCAGTTCCTCGTCTGCACAAACTTTCACTGAACGTGGGAGTTGTGCAGGCGGGGGGTACGCAGTGCTGTTGGGGGAGCCTCCAGGAGGGCTGTCTAAACCAGGCTGAGGAGGGAGGGGGCAGGCAGAGGAGACTTGCCAGGGAGGTGATGCTCAGACCAAGTTCAGGATGATCAGCAGCAAATAGCCAGGCAAATGGGGTCCAGAATGTTCCAAACAGAGGGGCAGCTCCAGCAAAGACACAGACATGAGGATGTGTGGCTGGAACCAAGGGTGGGTATTCAGGACCAGCTGAGGGGAGAGAGGCAGGGGCCACCTCAAAGGGTTGGTTTTGTTTTGTTTTGTTTTTTCGTTATGGGAGAATATATAGAACATAAAGTTTACCATTTTAACCATATTAAGTGGAGAGTTTCACTATTTTTACGTTTCAGTGTATTAAGTACACTCAATATGCTCACATTGTTGTGCAGCCATTATCACTATCCCCAGAACTTATTCATCTCCCTGAAACTCTGCCCATGAAACACTAACTCTTCATCTCCTGCTGCCCCCGCTCCTCCCCTCCCCACCCCCACCGCCCAGCCGCTGGCAACCACCCTTCCACTTTCTGCTTCTGTGAATGTAACTACTGTAGGGAATTCATATGGTGGGATCCTCACTTAGCATTCTGTATTTAAGGTTCAGCAGGTTGTAGCACATTTCAGAATTTCCTTCCTTTTTAAGGCTGAATACACCACATTTTGTTCATCTGTTGATAAACATTTGAATTGCTTCCACCTTTTGGCTGTTGTAGAAAATGCTATTGTGATCATGAGTGTACAAATAACTGTTCAGGTTCCTGCTCTCATTTATTTGGGGTATATACCAAAGGTGGAATTGCTGGGTCATATGGGACTTCTATTTTGAATTTTTGAAGAACCACCATGCTGTTCTCCATAGATCTGCACCCTTTTACATTCCCAGTAAGGCACAAGGGTTCCAATTTCTTCGCATCCTCCCCAGCATTTGTTATTTTCTGGACTTTTTGGGAATAACCATCCTAATGAGTGTGAAGGGGCATCCCATTGTGATTTGACTCTCATTTCCTTAATGATTAGTGATGTGAGCATCTTTTTTTGTGTTCTTATTGGCTATTTGTTTATCTTCTTCCGAGAGTCCATTCTAGTCTTTGTTCACTTTTTACTTGTTTTGTTGTTGTTGTTATTGAATTGTAAGAGTTCTTTATATATTCTGGATAGTAATCCTTTATCAGGTATGTGATTTACAAGTATTTTCTCCCATTCCATGGATTGCCCTCTCACACAGCTGGCAATGTCGTTTGATTCAGACAAGCTGTTTAATGTAGTCCAATTTATTTTTTTCTTTTATTACCTGTGCTTTTGGTGTCACATCCAAGAAATCATTGCCAAATTCAATGTCACGAATTTTTTTCTCTACCTTATCTTCTAAGAGTTTTTAAGTTTTAGTTCTTATGTAGACCTTTGATCCATTTTGAGCTAATTATTTGTATATGGTATAAGGCAAGGATCCAATTTCATTCATTTGCATGTGGATGTCCAGTTTTCCCAGCACCATTTGTTGAAAAGACTACCCGTTCTCCATTGAATGATCTTGGCACCCTTGTCAGAAATCATTTGCCCGTATATGGAAGAATTTATTTCTGGGCTATCCATTCCATTGATCTCTATGTCTGCCTTCATGCCAGTGCCACTCTGCTTTGTAGTAAGTTTTGAAACTCACACGGTGTTTTATGGACAAGTTAACATTTGATTACCAAGCTCTGGGAACCCATAGAAACCTTTAAGCAAGAGAGTGATGGGATCATTGAGGCATCAGGACCCTAGACCCCAACCTCGCTGAATTTTTCCCTTGCTCACCCGTTATTTCTCTATCTCCTCCTCCCACCCCTAACCTGAATGGCCGTGTCCTTTGCAGCCGCTGAAAAAAATGGCAGACAGGATCAGGAAGTACCAGATCTTGAACAATGAGGTTTTTGCCATCCTGAACAAGTACATGAAGTCCGTGGAGACAGACAGTTCCACCGTGGAGCATGTGCGCTGCTTCCAGCCACCCATCCACCAGTCCCTGGCCACCACCTGCTAGGCGGGAGGTCCTGCAAGCCCTCAACCTGGAGGAGACCACGCAGCAGGAGAGAGAACGCCATGGCCAGCCCTGCAATGGTGTCCGACTGGACAGCGGGTGGGATGGACCTGGAAGCCAATAGGAACCTCCCCAAACACATCTACACTCCCAAGCTGGGCCTGTGCATGCTCTCCCCTGACATCTCCATGGTGGTTTTGCCCTCACATAAATGAAAACAACACAAAACCAAAAACCAGGGCAGATGTGCTTTTGTTTTCTCCTTTCTTTCCTCAGCTGTGTTAAGAGCCCTAGTTTCACCCTTTCTCCATCTCACAGCCCCACCCCACATCTGTGGTTGCTTCCCAACACTTCCTCCCAGATGGTGACCTCCTACCCAGTGCCCACGTGTGACCTCAAAGCTGAAGTCTCCGAAATGGAGAAAAGAGTGTGGCCTTGGCCCTAGAAATCAGCCTAACCGGATGGCCATGCCTCCTCTACTGGCTTCTTCACCTCCTCTGGCTCCCTCCCCCAGTTTTTCCAGGTGGCACCTCCTCCTGCTCTGGACACCAGGGATTCTACCGCCAGAGTACTCTGGGCCAGGCGCTGAGAGCCCTGGAGAAAGAGGACAGGGTGTCAGCACCATGGTAAATGGTGTTGGCCCTGACCTTCCGTGGACTCCAAGCCACATCCTCACTCTCCTCTCGGGGCTCTCCTAGAACCCAGACATGCATTCTCAGCTGTATCCCACTGAGCGGAACTAGGTAGGAGGGTGGTCCGGCCCAGTGTGTGGAAGAGGCATTTATGATTCCATAGCCCGAGACAGAAAGCTATTGGAACATTTCATCCGCTTGACGGCGAGATGGTTCCTTTCTTCATTAAGGAAATACTTAATGATCCCTAAGCCGCACAGGGGATGGACACTGGAACAAGTCAGCGAGCAAATTAGGGGCCACTTCTTTGCACAGATTGTCATCAAGAAAATATTAAGGGGTTATTTTAATAGGAGCCAGAAACATATGGGGGGTCAAGGAGGTGAGGAATTCAAATAAAATTTGTCAGTGAGCTTTTACTACCAAGATACACCCACAAAAAGGAGTTGTTTTAGTGACTCAGGACTTCATTGTCCTAGAAATGGATTCTTGAGACATTTTATCTTTTGCTCTCACCTTCCTTAATGTTCCTTAACTTAGGTTTTGAGGGATGGGACGTATCCCACAGGGGCATAACTACTTCAAATTTCCCAGACTGATCCAAAATCCCTAGCAGATCTCCCTCCAGGCATGGGGGGAGTGGGAAGACGGAAGCCTTTGGAAGTGAATGTCTCATTACAGAGCGCACCATCTCCAAAGGGGGCCTGTGCTCCTGGGCTTGTAAGAAAATATAAAGTGAAGTATTTGATATCTCCCACCTCCACCCCCACCCAGGAGGAAAAGAAAAGAGAAAAAAATAGAACAATAATGATCCCCTCCCTCAGGGTGGATGGATAGAAATGGTTACCATTAATCAGGTGGCCCATTTTAACCCCATGGGAATGGGAAGAGCAAGCACGAGTCCAGAGCAAGAGGCTTGTGTGATACACCGATGCTCACCAGGGAGGAGGGAGCTGGGGCTCGCCAAGTGTGGTCCGAAGGCCTCCTACCACGGCCTCCTGAGATTACCACATTTAATGACGATTCCTGGGCTCCGCCTCAAACCCACTAATTTTGCATCCCTGGGAGTAAGATGGAGAGATCTGAGTTCTGTTGCACATGGAAGTCCGAGGACCACTGCTGTAGAAGTGCTCTCCCCTGCTAGCCTTGGCCTTGGAGCTTCCTCTGAGCCACAAAAGTAAATATTTGTAGGGAAGGAGAGTGGTTCAAAGTGGAAGCTGGCAGATCTTGTCTGGAGGTGCCACTTCCTATTCCGATATTTCAGTTTTTCCTCTTGATGACCATAGATGTGTCCCAAATGCAAGAGGGAAAGGTTATACCCCATGGTTGAACGACACAGAACATGCCTTCAAAACCCGCATCAAATCTCTTAAGTTTCAGAGCCTTCTGGACCTTCCATCCTGTCTGGGAACAGTCGCTGTTGCAGTCAGATGACCAGTTCTTAAGTCCTAGAGGTCTTTCCAGATCCTTGACTGTTGCTTTTGTGGAGATTTGGATCATCCATTTGATGAGATTACAATTTCAACCACCCACCCTCCTGGCCCTGCATTCATAAATCTGAATTTGGCCCTCTGGGTAGAATCCCATTATCCTCAGGAGGTTCTCTCCCAGTAAAATGAGGTCTTCACCTTCGGGAGGGACCTCTCATTTCCCCAGCTTGCCAGCAGCATTTATTTATGAGCATTGAAGAGGTTTAAAATTCTTTACGCCTTGATGTTATACCCACCCCCCTTCTGTGGTGTGTGTGTGTGTGTGTGTCTTAAGAATCAAGTAATAAAAAACAAAACATAGGTTTTAAAGTTAAAAACACACATCTGTTTCAGAAACTGTCAAATGTACCATATTTGTATTAAGAGATGTTGGGGATTTTTGTACAATGAATTTACATTTATTTATGGTGACTTCTATCTACCCTTGTGATCAAATAATAATGTTAAATTCTTAAATCATATTTGCTATGCAGCTGAAGATGATATTTTGCTTTGTATCTTGGAGTATCTGTGTTGAGTTGATAAACATTTCCATCTTCATTAAAATTGCTTCCAAACTGATGAAACCAGCATCTTGGTCATGATTCTGGGTCATTTTCCAGTCCTCGTCGCCTTTGGAAGGCCACATTAAAATTGATGACTAAGAAAATAACCCAGCCCGGCCGGTGTGGCTCAGTGGTTGAGCATCGACCTATGAACCAGGAAGTCATGGTTCGATTCCCAGTCAGGGCACATGCCCAGATTGCAGCCTTGATCCCCAGTAGGGGGCATGCAGGAGGCAGCCGATTGATGATTCTCTCTGAATTGATGATTCTCATTGAAGTTTCTTATTTCTCTCTCCCTCTCCCTTCCTCTCTGAAATCAATAAAAATATATTTTTAAAAAAAAACAAACCTGAATGGAGTGGGAGAAGATAGAGCCAGCAGGTCAGTGTGCCCTAAACTAATGGCTTGCTTTGCTTTTTCACTGAGAAAATTACCTCTACAAGTTGACTTGTACAGGGAAAGATATAGGAGATATTTTCTGCCCTTAGGGAACGCATAGTCTCACTGAGTGTAACTGGCACCCTAGACCCCTAGTTTTAAGAAGAAGAATGGGAATTAATATTAATGAGGCCTGATAAGTGTGGGCACTGTGCTAAGTCCCATTCATCATTCCTGTGACCCAGCACAGTCACTTTCTGTGTCATAGCCCACTTTGACAGGCTGCACTGTGTTCATTTCCACACAGTTACTAGGTGAAGACAGAGGGAGAAGACGAGCACCTGTAAGCCAAGGAGATTTTTTTAAAATTCTTTATTGTTGAAGTATTACATATGTCTCATTTTTCCCCCATTAACCTCTCCCCTGCTATTCCCACCCCCAGCACCTGCCCTCACCCCCCCCCCCTACTGTGTCCATTGGTTATGCTTATATGCATGCATACAAGTCCTTTGGTTGCTCTCTTACCCAACCTCCCCCCACCATTACCCCTCCACCAAGGAGATCGTAAGTGTTCTCCTACACCAAAAAAAGAAAAAAGGTAAATGTGGGGTGATGGATGAGTTAATTACCTTGGTTGTAGTGATCATTTCAAAATGTACTAGTATATCGAAACATTACATAGAACACCTTAAATACATACAATTTTTATTTTTCAATTATATCTCAATAAAACTGGGGTAAAGGGAATCTTGACTATAAGAACAGAATAATGTTGCTAAACCAAAAGCAAGAAAAATTAAATGTATAGAATAAATACATATTAATTTATGAATTACAGATGTCTTTATTTTATCCATTCAAACGTGGCTGGCTCAACAACAGAACACCCAGAAATATGCAGTGATAATTAAATGCAGTCATCTTTGGTATTTTGGCCAACTTGTAGTCATACAAAACCCTTGACATCACATAGACTTTATTTGGTGTTATAAATGTATATTTTGTCATCAGGAAGACAGAACGTATTTTCTAACAGTGTAACAGCGTGATTTAGAACTTTTGATTATTTAGAGACATATGGTATGTGGTCCTTTTGCCCCAGACCCTGCAGACGGTGGGAGGGGGCTGGCTCTGATCCTGTGTCAGTTCCCCTAAAGAGGCTAAAGCCCGAGGTGGGAAAGAAACAAAGACGCATTTGGGTGAAGAGGAGATTAACCCGCCCCCAAAGCCAGTCCCCCCTTCCCCATCTGGTTTGATTTACTCTGATTTCCTCCGTCTGCGCCCCCTTCTCAGCCTGTTCCCAGCCATCCCCAGATGCTGCACCGTCTGGCTGGCCCAGAGCTTCCGGCAGAATGGGGAAGGCGCAGGGTTTCCCTGGGAAAATATGCCGTGAGATGCTATCGGAGCTAAAAATATGTGGCCCCTAAGCTCCACCCTCATTAGTCAGAATAAAACCCAGGGATTTCTGCCTTCTGGAGTTTCAGACCAACCGGAAAAGGGGAAATCAGCGAACCCCTGGTTGGGGCTTAAACACTTTCTGGCAAGGAGCCCAGGCTTGAGCTGGAGAAAGCTCCCTGGACCCTGGTGGTTACAGTGGGCAAGGGGCTGACTCTTGCCGGACAGCCTGGGGACAGTCTGGGGTCAGCCCATCCACGGCTACCACATATTCTCATCTAATCCACTTCTCTCATCATCAGTATACCCATTTTACACTTGAGGACCCAAGCATACAGTGCAATATACAGATCTTGTATCATAGAAATCTATACCTGAAACCTATCTGATCCTATTAACCAATGCCACCACAATAAATTTAATTTAAAAGAAAAAGAAAACAATACAGATTGAACAACCACACCACTTGCCTTTTTCAGCTCATCCTGAGGTCCCAGGGTCTCCGTTGCTCACACAGACACTCACCCCCTACCCCTGCCTTCAGGGAATGCTCCCCCACCCCACACCCCCTCCCCATCTTCACAGAATGAGCCTTCCATCGCCCTTCAGGTCTCACTAAAACACCCCTCCTCCTGAAGCCTAGGTCGCAGTTGCTCCATTAAATACTCTCCACTCATTCTGTACTTGACCTTCTTGCTGCTGTTTATCAAAATTATAATTCAAGGTTGTGTGGCCAGTTACTGGACACAGGCAGTGGATATAGGGATTGCCTCTGTCTTGCTCGCCATCATAGCGCCTGTGACTGTCACAGGGTATGACATGTCAGAAGTGTTCCATCTATGTCTGCTGAATGAACCCATCCCCCTGCCCCCTCCAAAAAGCTTGTAATGGTGTTAACAGGTTAGCCTGCCTTAAATCAGCAGCCATCATAAGAGAGAGGAGAACAAAGGCCTAGTTGTCTGGTGTCGACTATAAGCACGAGGGTTGTACTATACTGGGTGGTAGGGAGGACTGGAGGTGGGATTGTGCAGAAGGGACAGGGACAAATACAAGAAAGAAAGAGGAAGGGATGGGCATGAGGTTTGGGGAACAGCGTGGAGGCAGAGCCTGCTGGGAGCAGTTCCTGGTGGTGGTCATTTTCTCTCTCTTGGGACCTTCCTCAGCCAAGAACGGGGGCAAAAGCTAGTAACTGGGTAAAAGCTGGTTGTTGAAAACCCAGCTCTGCCAGGAACTAGCAAGTTCTCAATCTCTCTGAACATCGGGATCCGTATTGATAAGAAGAGTTAACAGTGGTTTCACCTATTTCTCAGGTTTCTGCAAGGGTCTAATGATAGCATGCACGGACCACCTTAGCACGGCACCTGGCACACTGTTGGTGCTCAGCAGCCGGGACTGGGTCAGGAAAGAGGGCTCCGCCAGCCACAGCCACCGGGTTTTCCTCTGCAGTCACGTGCCCCTTCCTTCTCTCCAACCTGGGTTTCCACTCAGGGCTCCCCATGGAGATCTCACTCACCCCCACTCCCCATTCAGTCCACAGCTATTTTCCAACAGATTCAAGAACCGAAAAAGCCTGAAGAAGAAGGAACCAGTGGAAGGGACTGTCAAGAACCCAGGCAGCCAGGAGGTCAGAGGGGAGAGGGCAGGGCCTAGGGAAGGCCAATGGTTGGTTAAGAAAACTGGCCAGGCCCAGGAATGCTTCCCCAGCCCTCCTCCTCCCTGCGGACAGACAGAGAGCCAGCAGACAAAGAGCAAGCCTGCCTAGTGAGTGTGGTACCCAGATGACCTCCAAGGACTCTCCCTGCATGTTAGGTAACATATTCACAGGTTCCAGGGATCAGAATGTGGTTTTGTTTTGTTTTGTTTTGCAGCGTGGGGGCTAATATTCAGCCTACCACAGCCCTTTGGGAGGAATCAACATTTTAAATAATGATACCCTTTGATCCAGCAATTTCACTTCCAGGATCCCTCCCACACGTATAACTCTACACATGCATTAAGGTGTATGTTCAGGAATGTCTCTTACAGCAGAGTTTATAATACTGAAGCCTGAGGTAATCAGTAGAAATGTGGTTAAGTAATTTGTGGAATGTTCATACGCTAGAATATTCTAAAAAGTGCAGTGTTCTAAGTATAATGAAGTACATGTATACGTCCTAATATGAAAAAGTCTGCAAGAAGCACTGTAAAGTGAAAAGAGAAGAATGAAATACAATCTGTATAATGTGATCCCATTTTTTAAAAGAATATGCACCTTTTTGGCTATGTGTGAGTGTGTGTGATTTCTGGATGGCTGCCAAACAATGTGTTAGTGGTGGTGACTGCCTCTTGGTGGCAGCCAGGGGATTTTTATCCTTCATTATATGCTCTTCTGAACAGCAATGTATTTATTTATTCATTCATTTTTGCTGAAAGTATGTATGACTTTTATAATTCAAAAACCATATGTTCCAGCTGAAATTCAGCACTTTGACCAATAATCCGAGGTCATCTTTAGGAAGCTAGGATCAGGATGCAGGAGGACCAGTCTCCTCTTCCTGTAACTTCAGTCCCCATCCCTCTCCTGCTCCCCAGGCCCCTCCGGCTGAAGGAGCTAAGGAACGAGTGGTTAGTGTGCAAATGTGGAGGTTCACACAGACCTGGGCTTGCATCCAAGTGCTACCACCAAGACCAGCTTTGTGGTCTTGGGCAAGACTCTTAACCTCAGCAAAACCTCAGTGTGAACTGGTGATAATACCACTTAGTACGTAGGGTTGATGTGAGGACTGAAGTTAGATATGTTGAGTCTAGCACAAGGCTTCACACTCAATGACTTGCAGGTGTTCTTCTGAATAAGACCAACTCAGAGAAGGCGATGAGATCCAGAGGAGGAACTTCGGTCTAGTTCGGTGCACACATCTTGAGTGTCGTGGTGCCTCCTGTCATCAGCATCGTTGTGAGGATTAACATGGTACCATTGGGCTTCCAAGGCCCCCGGTGGTGAGAGAGACAGTAAGTATAACCATCTTGAGTGTGTGGCCTGGTGGCACCATTGAGGGCAATGATCTCTATCTTGGTTAGGAGGGGGTGTTATGAAGGCCTCAAAAACACCAACATTTCCTTGGGTCCTGGAGATACTCCATGTTCTTCTCAGGACGGCAGCTACAAGGGTGCCTACATATGTAACAATACAGTGATTTCACACATCATTTTAACATCTGTGCACTATTCTTTATGAAGTGCTGCCCCAATAAAAACGTACACTCAGGAAC